TTCGAGGGCGACAGGTGCGGGCACGCCATGTGGCACCTGTGCTTCTCCTTGTGTTTGTACCTCTCCCCCACCGCCTCCTTCCCGAACCTGTAGCGCTTCAGGGACTCCAGCACCGTTCTGGAGGAGCTGTTGGCCGCGAGAGTGTCCATGGCGACCTGCGGCTGCTCCGAGGAGGAGCGGTGCTCCCGGTGCTTGTGGCGGTGCCTGTGCTTGTGCTCCAGCATCCAGCCGTAGGCCATCTCGGGCGGAACGCTGGGGTAGGTGCTCATGGACAGCAGGGGGGTCCTGCTCGTGGTGAGGAAAGCTTCCTGGCGTAAGAGTTTATGCTTCTTCTTGTGGTATTTGGTGGGGTTGAGGAGCAAGTGGCCCGTATGCATGTAGGAGGGCGGAGGCAGGGGGGTCGTGAAAGAAGGGGAGGGTGGAGGAGGGTAAAGAGTCGGGGGGTACCTTCCATAATACCCTAATCCTATGGGAGCAGCTGCCAGGGGGGACGGGGAGTAAGGCATGCCATAGGAGGGGTAGAACCCGGTGCTGGAGAGGGGGAAGCTGAGGCTGTGCATGAAGGGCATTTCCGCCATAGCTTCCCGCATTTTCGGAGGCCTGCCTCTCTTTTTCTTTAAATCGGGTTTCCTAATGTAGTGCAAAGGGTCTAAGGGGAACGTGGGGTGGGTGTAGAAACTGTTGAAGTTTATCCTAAAAATGGTGGGCAGCAAATCCCGGGGTATAAAATGGTGACTCCGGTGGGTTATTCGGATTTCGCTCAACCGGCTTATTAACTCCTCGAGCTCGGCGAGGAAATCGGGGTCCTGCCTGCCCCGCAGCTGAGGGTACTTCTTTTTCCTTTTCCTCTTCTGCCTCTTCATCTTGTCGTAGCTGAGGTAATCGTGGCCGCGGCGCTTGCACTTGTGCTTGTGCTTCTCCTTCAGGTTGCCCAGCACGGTGGAGGTCTCGGGCGGCAGGAGGGACACGTGGTCGAACGAGTGCCTCTTCTTCTTCTGCCCGCAGAACTTCTCCGCCCGGTCCGAGGTGCTGTTGTTGTCGGTGCCGATGCCGCTGTCGCTGGGGACGGTCTCGTCGCTGTGGGACTCGCTCACGGGCGACGGCGTGGCCTCCTTGAGCGAGGTCAGCTCGCTCAGGTGGGAGGGCGAGTTGGGCAGCAGCGTGGGCGGGGACAGCCTCCTCCTGCCCTTGGCCGCTTTCTTCATGGCCAGGGTCTGCACCACGCCGCCCTGGCGCGGGTGCAGGTGCAGGTAGGGCACGGGGCTGGGCTCGATGAACCCCGCGTCGCTGCTCACCGGGCTCTGCCCGCCGCTCACCGCCGACGACTGCGAGCAAACCGGAGACGGCAGCACCTCCGAGGGGTTCCCCGCGGGAGGCAGCAGGTGGGGCAGGACCTGGCCCAGGGAGGCGCCGGGAGCTTGCTGGGCAGACTTCTCCAGCACCGTCAGGCCGGCGGCGCTGCCGGCCAAGAGGCCGTTCAGGACGGCTTTGGGTTTCCTCCCCCTCCTCTTTCCTATGTAGATCGTTCCTTTCTTGCTGACATTGATCTGCTGGCCCAGCTTCGAGCCGAACGTGGCAGCAAGAGTGGACACCGTGTTGTGGAGCTTGGATTGCATCTTCCCTTTGGTATTTGGTTCCACTGTACTGGACAGAATCTGATTCAGGAGTTTCTTTCGCTTCAGAGTTTTCATTTTATTTATTTTTCGAATAATCGTTTTCATCAACTGTCCGTTATTTCTCTTGGCGACTTTTCTGTCTGAGTCCACTTCCAAATCGCTCATGCTGCAAATGCTGGGGCTTTGGACCTCCTCAGGCCCTCGGAGCTGCTCCTTTCTCTCAAAGAACTCCCCAGGTCGGTGCTGCTCACTTTCGGGCCCCATCTTGCTCGAGTTCTCCGTTCCAACAAAAGGCGCCACGGACAGGATAGGTGGTTTCGTTTTAATTGACGACCTGATCTGTCTTTTAGGTCTCCCTCTCTTTTTGGGGAAAGGCTGCCCTGATAAGCTCTGCTTCAGGGAGGGAATTTCCACCTCAGGCTGCAAAATGGGAGGCTCTTGCTCTTCTTTCGACTGCACCGAGAACACTTTCGAGGCCGGAATCTTCAGAGTCCTTTTGGGGGGACCCTCGAGCTCCGGCATCTCCTTGGGTTTAGACCTTCCCCTTTTGGGCTTGTACATGTCGGGCAGGAAGTCGTCCGACATACAGAGGCTCGAGGGCTGTTTGTGAGCGCCGTAGAACTTCTGGGCTGGTTTGTCAGCCTCGGCCAGCAGCGCCAGGGACTGGCCCCCGGCCTCGTTCAGCTTGGGCAGCTGGTGCTTGACGAACTCGTGCTCCACGAACGAGGACGAGCCGATGTTTTTCAGGAACTTGGCCTGCTCCAGGTTGCTGCTCGACAGAGCGCCGTAGGAAATGTTTTTAAAAAGCTCTGACCTCTCCAGCTCCAGGCCCTTCGGAGGTCGGCACGTGCTCCTCGACACCACTTTAGTCCATCGGGGCTTCCTGCCTTTTCTCTTCTTCAGGGGCTTTGACTGCTGGGTGCTGCCCAGGTTCTTGGCTCCTTGGCAGGATTTGTCGGCCGCAGCGATGGCGCCGATCTTCAGGAACTGCTTGCTGCTGAACAGGCTGGTAAAACTGACCACCGAGGGGGTGACGGTGGCGTGGATGCTCGTCTCAGCTGCCAAAAGGGGCTTTTTCCCCGTGGAAGGGCTAGTTCGGGAAGCCTCCACGTAAGAAGCCTTCGAATCGCTCAGGTCTTTCTCGGCACCTTTAAAATCGGCGCCGAGGGGGTGGCTCAGCGTCCTGCTCAGCCCCAGGATGCTGTCAGAGCAAAAGGGGGTCTTGCCCACGGGCTCTGAGATGCCTTCCAGGAGCTCCGCCGTGGAGCTTAAGTGCAAGGAGTTGGACGGCAGCTGGGAGGAGGAGGAGGAGGAGGAGGCCGAGAGGCTCCTGCTCAGGGTGGGGACAGACACGGTGGGGGAAGGGGAGGGGAGATTCCCCTCTCCCACCGCGCTGAACGGGGACTTGGCCGTCGACACCTCCGAGGCACCTCCCGTCCTGAAGTCTGGTGAAGTGCAATACACCGGGGGCTGCTTCTCGTGCTTGGACGCTTCGTAAATCCCCTTCTCGCTGGAGGGGTAGGAATCCTGGGGCACGCACATCCCCTCGCCGAACATCTCCTTGCCCACCTCGGCGATCTCCTTCCGGATGGAAAACTTCTCCAGGAGGCTCTCCTTGTTCTGCCTCACGGCGTGCTTCTCGAAGGGCTTGCTGGCGGCGTTTTCCTTCAGTAAATCCGCAGGCTCGTGGCTTTCCAGGCTGCTGAGGCTGGAATTGCAGGGGAGCTTAAAGGGCTCCGGGGTGGGCGTGAGGGAATCTGCCTTCAGCGCCCCAGAGTCCTTGTTGGCCAAACCAGCCGGGCTGCCAATCCCTGCCGGCTTCTTCCCACACTCCTTGCTAACCAATCCCACCGGACTGCTGATTCCTGGCATCTTCCTCCCAGAGTCCTTGCTAACCGGTCCCACCGGGCTGCCAATCCCCGGTGTCTTCCTTCCGGACTCCTTGTTGCTCAGCACCGTGGTATTCCCGGCCCCCGGCATCTTCCTCCCGGAATCCTTGCTCAGCAGGCCCGCAGGACCGTTCACCCCCAGCAGCTTCTTCCCAGCGGCGTCCTTGTTAACCAATCCTACTGGAGCGTTGATCCCAACCGGTTTCTTGAGAGGCTCCTTGCTGGCGAGCGCAGCCGGAGCGCTGATCCCCGGCAGTTTCCTCCCCGCGTCCTTGCTGATCAACCCCACCGCCGAGCCGCTCACCGGCTGCTTCTTCCCACAGTCCTTGTGGGCCATCCCAGCGGGAGCGCCGACCCCCAGGGGCCTCTTCCCGGGGTCCTTGCTCACCAACCCCACCAAGGGGCCCACCCCTTGGGGCTTCTTGCCGGAGTCTTTGTTGGCCAGGACGGCCGCGCTGCCGATCCCCGGCGGCTTCTTCCCTGAGTCCTTGTTCAGCAGCCCCGCGGCCACGCCGCAGCCCGGCAGCTTCTTCCCCAAATCCTTCCCCGCCGTCCCGCTGGGATTGACGGCTCCTGGCGGCTTCTTCCCGGAGTCTTTCACCAGAGCAGAGGCGCTGCCGCTGCTGGGCTTCTTCTGCTTGGCTTTGGAAGACTTGGAGGGGGGACAGGTGGCAATGAGCTGGGCCAGCTTCTCCGTGACGGTCGTCGCTCCGTTCATCTCCGTCCTGTCCTTTACGTCCGAGTTATGGCTGCTGAGAAGGGCGGGAGGAGATGACTTCGTGTAATCCGTCATTTCTGAGTGCAACGGGGGGACTTTCTTGGCCAAAGGGGTTGTTTCTGCTTGGACACCTTCCTCCACGTGCAACTCCACTTCTCCAGCTTTCTTGTAGGACTTTACAGGGTCCTAGGAGTCAAAAAAACAACAAAAAAGTCTTTAGGAACAGAGCACAAAGTGTCTCCCTGAGTAAAACAGTATCTTTTATGTGGAGATGATTATTATCTGCTCCAGCAACGGGGTAACTGCACAGGCAAAGCTTCACGAACCTTTCAATTCTAAAGCAAATATTAGCAACAATAAATTAAATAATAAAATATAAATACAATACATAGTTTATGCAAATACTGGCAATATTAATAAATTAATAATATTTGAAGCAAAATCTTGAACCAGCAGACACCTTGAAGCTTTTCTGACGTAAACGAAACCCAAACTCGCTGCCGGCCCTGAAACGCAACCCATTTAATCTGCTCCCCCTCTTCCCTTAATTATAAACATTCTCCCAAAATACTGCTGCTGTTTATTAATAAAAACCCACTGACAACAATGCACTGGGCTATTTATAGTGTGAGAGCCACTTGAAGAGCTCACATGGTGCTGAGCAGGGCCCTGTCCCAGGACACCCCCAGCCCCTGCAGCGGCAGCTTCTCCTCCCAGCAGCCCATTGACAGCCAGGAAAACCAGTAAAATAAGATGAAATCAGTCAAATCAGTCTCCTGTTTGCACAGGGACACACGTGGAGCAGCTGAAACAGGATATTCCGTGGCTGACCCAGCCCTGGAAGTGTCCAAGGCCAGGTTGGACAGGGCTTGGAGCAACCTGGGATCGTGGAAGGTGCCCCTGGTGGAACTGGATGAGCTGTATAATCCCTTCCAGCCCAACCCATCCCACGATTCCCACTCCAAACAGTGTGAAAACCTCCTGGCACCCACCACCTCCAGCTCCTGGGAATCCCTGGGATGCCAGAGAGTCACCCAACAGCACTTGCTGGGCAACCTGCAGAGAGTTATAACCCCTTTTTCCACGGCCTGAAACCCCAAAAAGAACTTTGGAAGGAAACTTTTAATCTCTGTTCAAGGGATTTAAACACCTCTGAAAAAATTCACCTAAATACTGGCTTGGGAGTTAAAACTCCTCAGCCCTGTGTGCCTGCTGAGCCACCAGGGGATCCACAACATTCCTTCTTGCTGTTTATTCCTCCCTGTGCTCCCCCACTCAGGTCCTGGGGTGCCCTCTGGGGGATCCAAAGCCTCTGCTTTTCCCAACCCACCCCCATCTCCAAACAAAGGGCTTGGAAGCCTCAGCAGATATTTAAAGAACCAACACACGGCCAAGCAAACCCTTCCAAACCCCCAGCTTTGATCTGAGCAAGATGGCAGGATTGGGAAAACACTGGAGCATCGAACAGGGAGCCTCTGAAAGCTGAAGGCAGGTGCCCTGGGAAGCTCCTTTTCTCATCTAGGGGCGATGAATCCTCCAAGCACACGGAAAATTGTTTCAAAGAACGTGAAAAACAGAGCGAGAAAGGGTTGGGGAGGCGTCAGAAAGGAGCCAAAAGAGTTCACAGCTTTTTTTTTTTTTTTTTTTCCCAGCTTTTTGAAAGCCAAAATTCTTATATGGGAAATTTCTTTTCATGTTTTTGGGGTTTTTTTTTTGGCCATAAAACCACCCCAACAAACCCCACAAAGTTCCTCCTTGCAATTCTGTCTTACCAACATTTCAGATTTATGGTTAAAGGGAATGGGAAGCGTTGCTGTCACCGAGGAGTATCCCACAGGAATATCCTGTGGGATGGAGACTGAGCTCTCCCTCAGTCCCTGGGATCCCTGATCCAAGCTCTCCCTGGTTTCCTGGGATCCCTGACTCCCTGATCCAAGCTCTCCCTTGGGAATTTTTTGGGGCAGAGTTGTGATGTCACAACCTGTGGCCACAGGAACACCCCGTCCCTCAGCCCAGCTCTCCTGTGGTCGCTCCAATCCTCGGGAAAAGCTCAGGAATTCCCCCTGGAATACCCTCGAGGCCACAGTTGGAGGGTGGGAGCAGCCAGGTCTGTCCCAGTGCAGCAGGTCCCTGATTCCCTGGGATAACTCCTGGTGCCCACACGAGCGCTCCGTGGGATGGGGAGGACAGACCTGAAGTCCAAATCCCACAGAAAAAAACCCAATTTTTCTGGAATTCTGTGCCTTGTTCAGCTGCCTGGCTTAAAAGTGCTGCCCAAAACCTGGAGGTCTCCATAAAACTGGCATCATCCTAAACTTGGCACCGAGCTGAGCTGCAAATTCCAAACCTCCCGTGTTGGATTTACGACTTCCAGGCCTGCACCATTCATTTCAGGAATAAAAACTCCAGGTAGTTTTGGTACAAACTGTTAATAAGCTACAGCCCATCACTGGGGGCCTTGATGGTCTTACAGCTCAGATGATTCTGTGGTTCCAGAGTCACCACAGGCACCAACAGCAAAAAAAAATGACTTTATTCTGAAAACAAAGCATCTGTTGCTACAGCACAATCTCAGGGTTTATCATTACTAGCTCATTATTTACCCTGATGATTATTGGTAATTATTTCCAAAAGGCTTCAGAGTAAATGATCTTTCCCCAGGCCAGAGGTATCCCCTCTCAAATTTGGCAATTTGGTGACAAATCCACGCTTCTCACCCCAAAACCAACGTGCAAAACCCGAGACAGCCTCAGCTCCACCCGCTGGAACAGCCTGTTTGTTACTGGGATCACAGAAACTGCTCTGTGGCATCAACACATCCCATGGAATTCCCCAAATAACAACGACTGGAAGTCCCTGCTGGTTATTTTTCCACCACCAAGGCTTTTCAATTCAAGTTTTAACCGAGTACCAGGAGAAAAAAAAAAAAAAAAAAAAAAAAAAAAAAAAAAAAAAAAAAAAAAAAAAAAAAAAAAAAAAAAAAACAAAAAAAGAAAGACAAACTTTAAGTCCCAGACGCTGCAGGGAATATTCTCAAGCTCCTAAAAAAAAGGAAAGAAATCACTTTCTTGAGCTTTGTTACCTCTGAGTGGCTGCGATTTCATCAGCAGAGCTTTCCCTGCACGACCCAGGGCAAGAGGGAAGAGCTCCAGAACGCTGCACTCAGCAGTTTTCACCCAGAAATAAAGAGATGGAGCAGGAGGGCAAGTCCCAACCTGCTGCTCAGTGTTACTACACCGAGTTAGAGTTACACAGGCTGCTACTATCACCTCTTCCTATTTGCTACACCTTTTACTCCACCCTTTGCCACGGTACTCCCCTTCCAGCACGGCTAAAACAGGGCCAAAAATGTGTATTTACGTGTGTTTGTGATCAAGGCTCAGGCTTTGGGGCTTAATGTCTGCCTGCCACAGGACATCTCCCGAAAGGAAGAAATCCCAGCTCCACGCTCAGCCTCGAAAAGAGCCGATTAAATGCTGCTTGGCTCCTCATTTTGCTTTCTCTTCACACCTGGGAACCTCAGCCTCTCTTTTCTCCCCCTCAAAAAAATAATATTTATTAACTTGTATGTCCAGACGTTTCTGGAGGACAAATTGTGGATGCAGAGGGAAAGATTCCCCTCACTGGGAGGCAGTGGAAGAGGGCAGAGCAGGAATGCCCATCCCCTGGGGGACAGGGTTTGTTTTGGTGGGAACACAGCAGTCCCTCCCTGATCCTTTTCCAGCCTGAAAGGTGCTGTGATTCCAAGTTCCTGCCCTCACCTACAGGAAGGATAAACCCTCTGTTTCTAACACCTGCAGACACTGCCCAGGTTGTAGCAGTGCTGTCAGCACTGAGCCTGAGAGAGCAGCCTGTCAGCCGTGCAGGGGATTTCCCTCCTCTTTTAATTTCTGCACTGGTATTCCCAGGAGGAGAATTCCACTGCTCCTCTCTGTGTCTCAGTGCCACATTTTCATTCAGATCCTTTACTCCTCCTTCAAGAGAAAGGAAAGTTTCACTTTCAGAGCTCCAGGCAAAGCCACACCTGGCTCTGAGTTGGTCATTTATTTCCTTTTCCCCTTCCTCTCCATCGAAAGCAGAGATTTAGGGATCACTTCCCTTTGCTGAAGGGTCATTTGCAGAGGTAAAACTTCCTTTATTTCATGACAATAAGGCAAAAAAAAAAAAAAAAACACCCACACAACCCCTCGGGTATTATTTTCAAACCAGGAATATTTTAAGCCATGGTTGCCATTTGTTTCCACACAGACATTTCCAGGTCCTTTTCAGGAATCAACCCACAGTGGGTATCAGTGATGTCACGTATCAATAATATCACTAATGTGTTAAAATATATATTATATGTGGCATATTATTATATAATATACACAATATAGTGATATGTGTATTATATACAATATACAATATATATACAATACATATACAATATATAATACATATAATATTATGGTATAATGATATGATATAATACTATGGTATATATGTATAATATATAATATACATGTATTATGCATATATAATATATATAAATATATATTTATATAATATATAAATATATGTATAATGTATAAATATATAATATAATATATACATATAATGTATTATATTTATGTATATTATATATAAAATACATATATAAAAATACATATATACACACATATTATAACATCACTAATATTTGCTTCTCTTTCTGATTCCCACTCGAAATGGGATGGATCCCCCGAAGGAAAACCTGGTCCACAGGGTGATAAATCCCTCCTGTCACCATCCAACCCCAAATGCTGATTATTTCTTCCCTGCTAAATCCTCTCCAGCTGCAACGGTGCCGTTTGCTGGGACAACCAGAGAATCCCAACACAACTTTCAGTCCTCACATCCAACCCTTGTCTTTTCAGGACTCAGTTTTATCACTTGGAATTGTGGAATCCCAGGAAAGGGACCTCGAAGATCAAGCCTTGGGGACAGGGCAGAGGCAGGACAGATGGAAACCCTGCAGACCCTGGGGGACCTGTGGGGCACACAGCCCTCACCAAAGAAACTTCCATGGACTTGCTGGATTCCCAAGGGTTTAAATTCCAACATTTCACTGGCAAAACTTGCAGGTATGTTGGCAAGAGGAGCAGGTTGTGGCCAAACTCCCAAAATTCAGCATCCACGCCACGTTCTTTGTGGCTCTCGCCATTTATCCTGTTCTTCCCTATCTGCTGCGGCTGCTCTCACTTGTTACACCCTGCAGATCACACAAACAAAAAGGAGGCAGGGCCACCTCCTTCCCTTTGGAAAACCCCTGGCACATCCCTCCAGCCACTCCATTTATAGCCATGTTATCACCAGGCTGGGTTGTAACTCATCTGCAAAAGCCTCTTCTGCTTTTGCAGGCCCTGCTTGGGCCCTCCGTGGCAGTGATGGGTGAGAAAACCAGCGATTCCAACAGGAAAACAGGAACCCAAACCCCAGCTCAACAGGGAAGAGACCCCCCCAAATTCTTCTATAAAAGGGACTGAAAATCACACCATCACTTGGCAGAGATTTACCCACTTCAAGTCCACAGGGGAATTATCTTTCCCTGCCGCCGAAACAACTGTGAACGAGCATTCCCCCACCCCACCGAGAGCCACGAAATCAAACCCCTTCCAACCTCAGGAGCTCCAGCGGCAGGGATGGTGGAGCTTTCAAACACAGCTTGAACAACACCCCCCTCTCCGACCACACCACTCACTTGTTTCGGAGGACAGTGCTCGTTCTTCTCATCCGTCATCTTCCCGCCCTTGGGCGCCCTCCTGGGCTGCTTGATGCTGGTTTTTATGGCGGGCCTGCAGACATAATTCTCCAGGTTCTTGGGAGGCTTTTTGGTCCTCTTGGCTTGCAGGCCGATCTTCAGCTTGAGGTTGCCCTCGGAGAAGTTGGTTTCCTTGACGGAGAACTCCTGCTGGGCCTCGCTCAGAGCCTCGGCCTTGCCATCGTTGCCGCCGCCGCCGCCGCCGCCGGGCCCCTCCCGGCCCTTCTTCTTGCCGTCCTCCTCGTCCTTGCTGCAACCCTCGGCCTCCGCCTCCGCCTTGCCCACCAACGTGCCAAGGTTGGCCACAGAGGGGCTTTTCCCAGAAAACCCTTCAGAATCGGAAGCCAAGCCTAACATAGCAGTATTCCGAGGGTCCATCACAGGCGGAATATTTGCCTCCGGGTGATTTTTTTTGGTTTTTTTTTTTTTTTTTAAGGGATGGTTTTTTACAGGGGGATGTTCCTCACAGGAGCTGTTCCGCTACTGGCAGTCAGCATCTTTCGCTCTGCAAAGCAGGAAAAAGGCAGACAGAAGAAGTAAACTTTGATTTCCCAGCAGAAATTAAATTAATGTTCCAGCCAATGGGAAAATAAACGATTGTATTCGAGGCAAGCTGATGTTCCCAGACACCACCCCCGCCGGTCGCCGACTTCAAACCCACAATTTATCTGTAAAACACTGTTAAATGAAAAGTGAAAAATCAAAAGCGTGGGAATATTATAATATAATTTCCAATTCGTCCACGGGACACTTCAAACAACGGTTAAGGATTTTAATATTGATCATCAAAGCAAGTTTTCTATTTACAACCAAAGCCCGGCTACTCCTGGGCTGGACCCACTGGATGAGCTGCAGTCCGAGGAAGGACATGAATGAAAACCTGGAGAAAGCACCCAAACCCCAGAGATATTCTGATTTTCATCATCTGAGCCACCGGGAAAGCTGAGCTTGACCCACGTGGGCACCAGTTTAAAAACAAGCCACAAAATCCTGAACGCACGAACGCAAAGCTTTGGCCACTCCCAGGGCTGAACTGCGAGCAGAGAGATTTCAGTGGCTTCAACAAACTCCAAAATGAGCTGTACAAAAAGGCCTCGAGGGGCTCAGCCTTCCTGGTCAGGCAAGGATTAGGGAAGCAGCTCGAGGAGGAGGATTTGGGGTGGCTCTGGAACACCAGGGGCAGGATCAGGAACGGGAGAGGTGATCCTGGAGAGCACCAAGTGGGCTCAGGTTTGGGAGAACAGATGCCAGGATTAGTGGGGGGGGCAGAAGAAATGCTGCTGAGAGCTCCAAATGAAACCTGTTGGAAAACCAGGCATCCCCCAAACAAACTTATTTATTTCCACGTGTTCTGGGCTCACTGTTCACATGGTTTCCATCTGCAGCTCGGGCTGCTCAACCCAGCACATCCTCAGAAACCAAACCCGCTGTTATTACTCGTAGAGACCAGAGGTAATGAGATAAAATCTCCATTTTACAAGCAGGAAAAAAACCCTGGTAAACAGTGTGACATGGATACAGAAGGTGAGTTATGGCACTGCTCAGATCAAGGCCCGATGTCCAGTCCAAGAGGCTTCACCATGTCACCAAAAACGGGCTTTTCCACACATGCTGATTCACCAAGGAGAACTGCCCAGCAGTAAAATAATCTAAGGCCTGAATTTGTATTATCCAAGTCCAAGAGAAGGGACAATCCTTCATGGAACTGTCAAATCCGCGTTCACACGACTGCTTCCCTCTCTAGGGACTGTGGTGCGGAGCAGCAGCAACACTGGAGGCACTTTCTTACAAATAAAATTAATTAAGAAGCTTAAAATATGAGACCAACAGCCAAGATTACCCTCACACGCTGACCCCAGGAACTGCAAGGCCCAAAGTGCACAGTGGGAATTAAAACCGTGCTCACATCTGACTCTGGGGCAACACAGGCTTGGGGACTGTCCCAAAAACAAAGGCACTAAATTGATGGCTCCCAGAAACACAGAGCAGGTCATTTCTTTAGCCATTAACTGCTCTCCACACAGACAACCAAACTGCTAATCCTGGCCCTGGATCACTGCAATCTTCTTCTCCCACCCCCCCAGTTACCCCAGGAATTCACAGAATAGTGTCTGTCCCTCAGATCTCACCTCCCTGAATCCCAGGGATGCTGCTGGGATGCCTCACCAAGTTCCAGCTTCCTGGCACTGTCTCCAAGGTGTTCAGGGCTCCTGTTCCCCACTGACACCACTGGCTGTGTTCTTGTCTCACTTTTCTCTGTGTTACTCCTCACACTCCTCGTGCCTGGATCTCCCCATCCTGCAGGATCCCTTCCACTCCTGCAGGATCCCTTCCACTCCTGCAGGATCCCTTCCACTCCTGCAGGATCCCTTCCACTCCTGTAGGATCCCTTCCACTCCTCCTGCAGGATCCCTTCCATTCCTCCTCCAGGATCCCTTCCACTCCTGTAGGATCCCTTCCACTCCTCCTGCAGGATCCCTTCCATTCCTGCAGGATCCTTCCACTCCTGCAGGATCCCTTCCACTCCTCCAGGATCCCCTCCATTCCTGCAGGATCCCTTCCACTCCTCCTGCAGGATCCCTTCCACTCCTGCAGGATCCCTTCCATTCCTGCAGGATCCTTCCACTCCTGCAGGATCCCTTCCACTCCTCCTGCAGGATCCCTTCCACTCCTCCTGCGGGATCCCTTCCACTCCTCCTCCAGGATCCCTTCCACTCCTCCTGCAGGATCCCCTCCATTCCTGCAGGATCCCTTCCACTCCTCCAGGATCCCTTCCACTCCTGCAGGATCCCTTCCACTCCTGCAGGATCCCTTCCACTCCTCCTGCAGGTTGTGCCTTAAAAATCCCGTGGCTGTCAAAGCAAATGAGCAGCCAGCTGATGACAGCCACGGTTCAGAGGCAGCTAAAAAAAGCCTGCACGAATTTACCCTGGAAACTCTTGATGATTTCGGGCTTTCAAGGCCTAAAACTCTCCTATTTAACCATGTGGTGTTAAGGAACTCACCAGTGTCTCCACTCTCACTGTGTGAAGCCCCAAGGCTTGCTCTCAGTTTTCCTGCATCCAGGGGATCTCAGGATAACAAAACTTGTGCTGGATTGAGAACCAGCCAGGTGCCAAACCTCACAAGTGAGGAGCAAGACACGTCCCGACCATCTCCCAAACTTCCAGTCCCTCAGCCAGCAGGTTCTGCAGATCTTAAATCCCTCCTGGAATTGTTCTTCCCTCCCAAAAAAATTAACTAGGAAGCATTTTTGACTCGTGCCACCGTGGGGCTCATTACAGATTCCTCTGATGCCACACACAGTTTTAGTACCTGGGTTTCCTCCTTATTCCCCTGGTGGCACATCCTGAGCTTTCTGTTCTTCTCATCCCTTGCTTTTCCAGGAAGAAAATGCTAAGGGTTGTTTTTTCCACTGCCAGATCCCAAGATATGTTTCCCCCATACCCCTCTAGCAACATCAACTGAGATTTTTCCCCCTCTGCTCAACTCAGGACTTCATTCCTGCTTCTGATTTTGTCCATAAAAAATGGACATTCCACGTCATTCCACGTTTAGAAGGTATTTTTCTTTTGCTTCTTTTAATTGCTCCAGCTCCAAGGGACACTAAAACCAACTCAGCTGAGTGTTTGAAACCCCAGAACATCCCCAGTAACTCCACAGCCTCCCACAATCCCTTCTCATATTCCCTGTGTTTTTTCCCTTGCTATGGGAGGCAGATACCACACTCAGAGAGCAGAAAAAGAAAAGAGAACAAAAAGTGTGATAAAACCTGACAGTTCT